ACCAGTCATGGCCTTCAGAAGACCTAAAAACATCCGTGACAAATTAGTGACATCTGTATTAGCAAAGCAGCCTACTCCATCTCCCGGTTGCTACAAACAATGTGGTCGAAGGAACTGCTTGTGTTGTAAAGCTGCCAATACAAGCAGTTCTTTCATCAGCTCCGTTACTAAACAAAATTATACCATCTACTCAAATTCCAACTGTAAAACGGAGAACTCAATTTATATATTAACATGTGACACATGTGGCATTCAGTATGTGGGAGAAACAATGGACAAGTTTAATATTCGGCTCAATAACCATCGTTCATGGTACAAAACCAACAAAAACTGTCCTCTCACAAGACATCTTCGTTCAACGAAACATTCTTTTGATAATGTTACCTTCCAAATCATAGAAGTCAACACCGAGTGGGACACCACGGCGAGAAGGAGAAGAGAAAATTTTTGGATCCACCAACTCCACACTTTAGAACCTGATGGTCTTAACGAAAAAGATGAGAAAAGATACAGGAAAGATAAAGAATAATTTAGTACACAGCATCGTCCTTTTTATCCTGTAATATTGGCCAATGGACGTTGCTAACTTCAACTACCAATTTTGTAAAAATCTTGAACTTCATCCAAATTATGTATTATTTTCAAGGCAGCTAAATTCAAGTGCAACATATACATTGAGCTGCAAAAGTTTCTTATCATCTACATCCGATTTCACCTGGATAGATGCACGCTTGATAAAGCTAGTTAGTCTAGCGAAATATTGCGTTTATTTTCATCATTTTGTAAATATTTTAAACATTCTTATATTTACATACTAAATAGTGTGTTAAAATTACATTGTTAGGCAATCTATATATATATATATATATATATATAATTAAGTCTAAGTTGAAAACAACGTTTAAACAGATGATTGCTTTGGATAAAAACCGCAATTGTTATACGTGTGCATGCAAAACAAGTTTCTTGGTATAGGGATCTAAGTACAGCACAAACAACATTTTCCAAAAGACCAAAAATGTGAAAAAGTATATTTAAACAAAACGCATTTGACTTACAGGTCGAACAACGGATGTTCTTAAACCCTGCTGACTGCCATTGATATATATATATATATATATATACAAGTCTAAATTGACAACAACGTTCAAACCTATGATTGCGTTGGATAAAAATCGCAAAATTTAAACGTGTGCGTGCAAAACAAATTTCTTGGTAAAGGTGTCTAAAATCAGCACAAACAACATTTCCCAAAAGATGAAATGAGTGAAAAAGTATATTTTAACAAAACGCATTTGACTAGCAGGTCGAACACCTGGTGTTCTTAAACCCTGCTGACTGCCATTGTCGATTGCCAAATAAACGGATCACAAGATGTAACAAAATGGATCTTATTATTAATTAATTAGCAAACAGAAAACAATAAACGTGCGGAAAAGATGGTATACCGCAAACATGAGGTGCACACATTTGTACACCATATCCGGATTTCGACAACTAATGTCTCTTCAGTGATGTTAGGGATCGAAACGGTATTTAGAAGGCCATATAATTTACCTCAACTTAGGTTAGACTCTTGAATTTTAAAGAGTCGAAATAGTTTGAACGGATCATATAAACCCGAAAGAAAATATAATACAAGCCCAAACGAAAAAATATAAACAAGTCTAAATTGAAAACAACGTTCAAACCTATGATTGCGTTGGATAAAAACCGCAATTTTAATACGTGTGCATGCAAAACAAATTTCATGGTAGAAGGGTATAAATACAGCACAAACAACATTTTTCAAACGACCAAAAATGTGAAAAAGTATATTTTAACAAAAGGCATTTGACTAGCAGGTCGAAGAACTGATGTTCTTAAATCCTGCTGACTGCCATTGGCGATTGCCAAATAAACGGATCACAAGATTTAACAAAATGAATCTTATTATTAATTTATTACCAAACAGAAAACAATAAACTTGCGGAAAAAATGGTATACCGCAAACATGAGGTGCAAACATTTGTACACCATATCCGGATTTCGACAACTAATGTCTCTTCAGTGATGTTAGGGATCGAAACGGTATTTAGAAGGCCATATAATTTACCTCAATTTAGGATAGAATCTCGAATTTTTAAAAGTCGAAATAGGTTGAACGGGTCATATAAACCCGAAGGAAAATATAATACAAGACCAAACGAAAAAATATAAACAAGTCTAAATTGAAAACAACGTTTAAACCTATGATTGCGTTGGATAAAAATCGCAATTTTAATACGTGTGCATGCAAAACAAGTTTCTTGGTAGAAGGGTATAAATACAGCACAAACAACATTTTTCAAAAGACCAAAAATGTAAAAAAGTCTTTTTTAACAAAACGCATTTGACTAGCAGGTCGAACAACTGGTGTTCTTAAAACCAGCTGACTGCCATTGGCGATTGCCAAACAAACGGATCACAAGATTTAACAAAATGGATCTTAGTATTAATTTATTACCATACAGAAAACAATAAACTTGCGGAAAAGATAGTTTACCGCAAACATGAGGTCCAAACATTTGTACACCATATCCGGATTACGACAACTAATGTCTCTTCAGTGATGTTAGGGATCGAAACGGTATTGAGAAGGCTATATAATTTAGCTCAATTTAGGTTAGACTCTTGAATTTTAAAGAGTCGAAATAGTTTGAACGGATCATATAAACCCGAAAGAAAATATAATACAAGCCCAAACGAAAAAATATAAACAAGTCTAAATTGAAAACAACGTTCAAACCTATGATTGCGTTGGATAAAAACCGCAATTTTAATACGTGTGCATGCAAAACAAATTTCATGGTAGAAGGGTATAAATACAGCACAAACAACATTTTTCAAACGACCAAAAATGTGAAAAAGTATATTTTAACAAAAGGCATTTGACTAGCAGGTCGAAGAACTGATGTTCTTAAATCCTGCTGACTGCCATTGGCGATTGCCAAATAAACGGATCACAAGATTTAACAAAATGAATCTTATTATTAATTTATTACCAAACAGAAAACAATAAACTTGCGGAAAAAATGGTATACCGCAAACATGAGGTGCAAACATTTGTACACCATATCCGGATTTCGACAACTAATGTCTCTTCAGTGATGTTAGGGATCGAAACGGTATTTAGAAGGCCATATAATTTACCTCAATTTAGGATAGAATCTCGAATTTTTAAAAGTCGAAATAGGTTGAACGGGTCATATAAACCCGAAGGAAAATATAATACAAGACCAAACGAAAAAATATAAACAAGTCTAAATTGAAAACAACGTTTAAACCTATGATTGCGTTGGATAAAAATCGCAATTTTAATACGTGTGCATGCAAAACAAGTTTCTTGGTAGAAGGGTATAAATACAGCACAAACAACATTTTTCAAAAGACCAAAAATGTAAAAAAGTCTTTTTTAACAAAACGCATTTGACTAGCAGGTCGAACAACTGGTGTTCTTAAAACCAGCTGACTGCCATTGGCGATTGCCAAACAAACGGATCACAAGATTTAACAAAATGGATCTTATTATTAATTTATTACCATACAGAAAACAATAAACTTGCGGAAAAGATAGTTTACCGCAAACATGAGGTCCAAACATTTGTACACCATATCCGGATTACGACAACTAATGTCTCTTCAGTGATGTTAGGGATCGAAACGGTATTGAGAAGGCTATATAATTTAGCTCAATTTAGGATAGAATCTCGAATTTTAAAGAGTCAAAATAGGTTGAACGAATCATATAAACCCGAAGGAAAATATAATACAAGCCCAAACGAAAAAATATAAACAAGTCTAAATTGAAAACAACGTTCAAACCTATGATTGCGTTGGTTAAAAACCGCAATTTTTATACGTGTAAAAGCAACACAAATTTCTTGGTAGAAGGGTCTAAATACAGCAAAAATAACATTTTTCAAAACATCAAAAATGTGAAAAAGTACATTTAAACAAAATGCATTTCACTAGCAGGTCGAACAACTGGTGTTCTTCAACCCTGCTGACTGCCATTGGCGATTGCCAAATAAACGGATCAAAGATGTAACAAAATGGATCTTATTATTCATTTATTACCAAACAGAAAACAATGAACTTATATTAAGAAAAAAAACAGAAAAGAAAGACCACTACAGAGTACAGTCTGTGGAAATCATGATTTCAACTATACAAAGTTGAAATTTGATGAAATGTTTGAAAATTCCTCTTTTATAATTGACTATTCAGATGTTAAGCTTTTAAATGCGGTTGATCTATTTTGGAGCACCTACCTACTGTATTAATTGTTAAGTTGTTCTCATTTAGTATAAATTATAAAAAAAAATATTTTAAGTCTTAAATTATGATTTTGATCTTTACATAATCTCTAAAAATCTCAAACTGATAGAGTTAAGTGTCAAGAGTTTTAAGTAAGTGTTCAGGTCTTTTCTTTTCATAAAGTCAGTACTATTCAGACAGTTTACTTGCAGTCAATTCAGTACTGTTCGGTAGCTATTGAGACAATTCAGGATGTTTAATTTGTGTTCAGGGCGATTACAGCTCCTAAAAAAACTAAACATTGGCAAAAAAAAAATCGAAATCACTGCAAGCGAATTGTTGGAACAATACTTTATTTACCATTTAAATCTGAAAACCCACTGAAAGACTGAACATGACTGATTGATTGTTCAGCCTTTTAAGAGCTGTAGACTTCAAAATTATCGTTTCAGTTCCACGTAGAAATAGATGCGTTAATCTGATGCATTATGTAGTAACAGAGCTTCACTTTTTGTAAGTTAAAAAATGATAAACAACTTATCTTGAACAACCTACTTTACAGAACATATTTTAGCATTATTGATAATTAGTAATTATTCATGAAATAGTATGGCGCTTAGTGGACCATGTTGCAATATAGATTGGAACCCAACGTAAAATCAATATATATATTGTTGCTGACATGATTTTTTAATTTAACAGTTTGTCATTTCTTATCACAGCTGACAGTGTATCCCTGTCGACGCCTGTTTCCATTCAAAAAATTAACGAAAATGAGAAAAAGGAAATACACACTTTACATAATAAAACGAGAAACGATGATGGTTCATTAATTGCAGGGAACAAAGCGTGTGCGGAAACTGGTAGAAATGGAAGGACAATTACTCAGATATCATCGGTTTGTAACAAAGGTATCACATTCGTTGTTCTCCTCTTATATTTGATGTGTTTCCCTAAGTTTTGGTTTGTAACCCGGATTTGTTTTTTTCTTAATCGATTTATGAATTTCGAATAGCGGTATACTACTGTTGCCTTTATTTATCCTCGATTCATTTCACTTTGAATGAAAGGGAATACATATGTTTTTGAAAAGTGAACTGCTACATGTATCGGAATGGAACAGCTAGCATCTCCTCGTAGTATTGAAACATTTAAAGAGGTATCATGGTATAGGAGGATTGCAGTCATGAAAATCCAATCGTACATGTTATTTATTTTTGTGTATTACTATTAAGGTTGTGCTAAAGTTAGGTTTAGGAATTTTTGTCAAATTTTCAGACTCTTTTGGTTTTTTCCAATGATATAGGGTAAATATTTTGTTCAAAAACACACACTTTTCTTTTCATAAAAGACTTCAATATCTCATATAAAGTCAATTACTAAAATTGAAGGAGATTCTTGATTTCTTTTCTTACAATTTGAATCCTCAAAAAAATGCCAACGCAAATATAACATGTATAAGGTAAGAGACCGAGTCAGCCTTTTCCTATCAATATTCGTAGCTAATTTTGATCATTAGCTTAAGCTCTTCTGACTAGTAATATCAATTCCAAAGTATAGATTTTTTAAATTTCACCTAGGTACATGCTTAAACTCCGCTAAAACTTTTTTTCTAATAAAAAAAGTATAACCACTTTTGATATTTTTTTCAAGAGGTGAAAACACTATCGCATAGAAACCAAATTTTGCATTTGTAGAGCAGTCATATTGGATGATTTAAGTGTATGATTAAAATTTAATACTATTCCATGGGTGATGATTATTAGTTGAAGATTTCAATTAATGTCTGTGTTATGCAAAATTAAAAACGATTAGTCTGTTACCAATGACGTCACAATACATGCATTTTTGACGGAGGAGGTTTTGGTAAGGGCCTTTTTTAGCCTACAAAAATGAAGTATTATAATACAAGATGATTAAATGTTTAGAATAAGTGTTATATTCGTGCAAATGTTCACCTGAATTATCTTTAAAAGATCATGAATATTTATGGTGATAGTATAGTCGCAAGATAGCAAAATTCCATTTTTTTCTATAAGATAGGAATACCAATGCAACTTTCACACTTGTTTTTTAGCGAGAAATGTTGATTCAAACAAGTACGACCCAAATATTTACAAAATAGTATTATATTTACAGAAACAAGTTTTGTGGTAAATTATCTATATGTACTGCGTACAATCTTTATTTGCGGATCCAAAAAGTATCAGAAAATGTAAACATTTGTGTATTGTTTGATACACTATCAAAATTCCAAATCTTCTCTTTTTATTTTCAACTTTACCCTCCCTCAGCCAATTACTGATATGACCTTTGTTTTTTGCGAGACTTTACATAAAAAGGACGTTTGCTAAATAATTTTTTTTACCGTTATGGACTGCATAGCTAAAAGGTGTATGAAATTCTATCTAATATGAGGTCAAACAGCTCGTGATTAATAAAAAAAAAAAAAAGTCATTTTTTTTTTATGAATTCAAAATAGATAAAGGAAACGGGGATTGCATCAAAGAGACACCGACCCGACCAAAGAGCAGAAAACAGCCGGAGGCAATCAATGGGTCTTCACCACAGTAATAAAATCCCGCACCTTGAGGCGGGCTTCTGGTGGCCCCTTAACAAAAAGTATTCTAGTTCAGCGAAAATTGATGTCGCATTAAGCTTAGAAACATATAAATGAAACAAACCTAAAAAAGTAAACATACAAGAAATACAAAGGCCAGAGGTTCTTGATGTGGTTCATAAGTGTTTGTCGTTTGTTGATGTGGTTCATAAGTGTTTCTCGTTTGTTGATGAGGTTCATAAGTGTTTCTCGTTTGTTAATGTGGTTCATAGGTGTTTTTCGTTTGTTGATGTGGTTCATAAGTGTTTCTCGTTTCTCGTTTTTTATATAGCTTAGACCGTTGATTTTCCCATTTGAATGGTTTTACACATGTCATTTTTAGGGCCCTTTATAGCTTGCTGTCTGGTGTGAGCCAAGGCTCCGTGGTGAAGACCGTACTTTGAACTATAATGGTTTACGTTTACAAATTATGACTTGGACGAGAGAGATGTCTCATTGGCACTCATATCACATCTTCTTATATCTATATACAAAGGCCAGAGGTTCTTGACTTTGGACAGGCGTTTAAATGCTGCAGAGTTAAACGTGTTTTGTGTGATGTTAACACACTCTCTATATCTCTAGCAAATGTAGACTTAAAAACCAACACAGCAATAAGCACAGTAAAACTAGTTTACCAAAAGTTCGAGTCCGATATAAGATAAGGTAACAGAAGAAACTAAGCAAAACGTCAATGATGAACATATATTAACAAAGGACTACTAACAGCTACTGACATGTCAGCTCCAGACCTCATTTAATCTGTGTGATAGGTTGTGTTCGAAAATCAAGCACAATCCCTCCCCTAAGGGGTTCAGGAGCATACTATCATAAAATATACGAGAAGAAGATAACCCGTTTCATGCCAATATCTGCTTTTAGAATAATTGTTTTTATTTCCAAGTCAAAGACCCTATGAGTGAATCAATATTTATTTTACAAAACGCCATCTTTACAGCAGAATGCATTGAGTGTGTAGTCAAAGGTAGAATCTTTGGTTATATTTTAGTTTGCTTGCTAGCTGAGTCGTGAAGTAATTATTAGCTAAGGTAAACTACCCTCCTTTAAGAGTAGACTAGTCCGACAGATAACCAATCTATCCGTCTGTAGGACTAGACTACTCCGAACGGAGGGTAGTATACCTAACCTAATAATGACTTCACGGTTCAGCTAACAAGCAAGTTTACCAAAGATTCTACCTTTACCTACACACTCAATGCATTCTGCTGTAATGACTTTGCAACAGTATTGTAACCATATCCCATCTGTATAACTCTGTTCAAAGGTTTGTTAGCTTTTGAGGTGAATGACGACATTTGTGTGCATTGTATAGAATATTACCATAATAGATGGAATGTGAAATACCTGAACGTATAAGATTTCTGCACGTTGATTCATATTGACAAATTATGTTCTCGTACCGATAATATAATGAAATAAATGTTTTGACAATTTTGTAATATCAAAAACTCTGGTGTTATAATATTTGAGTAATACAGAGACTTTTTTCGTAAAAACCATTTACTTTGTTACATACACGACCGAATCGTTGGGATATATAAACACCATAAGATAGTGACAATGGGACGTCCCCATTTAACAATTTAACAATTTAACAAACTGATTTAACAAATCTCTTTTGTCGTAAATGTTAGTGTTAAGCTTCCCGTTAAAGATATTAATATATATATATAGGTTTCAACGTTGTTTTCAATTTAGACTTGTATATATATATATATATATATATATATAAACGCCTAAAAAGTGTACTCAACAACACCAATAACGAAAAAAGGAACTATAAATGTAATTATTTATAAATATTTCGGATAACAGATATCCTTCATCAGTAAATATGATTGTGATGTTGAATGAATCATATATCAGTCTACTTAAATTAAACTATAACAATCTTGAAATTTATACAATAAAAAAGTCAAACCGAACATCAGGTAAGACGCTTGCACAATTCTAAATAAGGTTATATGACTAATTACAGCAGAGAGTTCAAATATATGCTTTAAATAAAAATAATAATGTGCGATATGAACTAGCACAATTCTAAAGCTTTAACGGTGACGACAGTTATGATGTTACAAGAATTGTGCTAGTTCATTTCGCATATTATTATTTTTATTTAAAGCATATATTTGAACTCTCTGCTGTAATTAGTCATATAACCTATGTCGTGTTTAACACATATTTAGAATTGTGCAAGCGTCTTACCTGATGTTCGGTTTGATTTTTTTATTGTATGAATTTCAAGATTGTTATAGTTTAATTTAAGTAGACTGATATATGATTCATTCAACATCACAATCATATTTACTGATGAAGGATATCTGTTATCCGAAATATTTATAAATAATTACATTTATAGTTCATTTTTTTGTTATTGGTGTTGTTGAGAACACTTTTTAGGCGTTTATATAATTTATGTATTGTGTACATGTATCGTTACTCGTAACGATCCAGCGCCCTCGTGGGAAAAATCGTTGACTATTATTCAGACGTTTTATATATATATATATATATATATATATATATATATATATATATATATACAAGTCTAAATTGAAAACAACGTTCAAACCTATGATTGCGTTGGATAAAAACCGCAATTTTTATACGTGTGCATGCAAAACAAATTTCTTGTTAGAGGGGTCTAAATACAGCACAAACAACATTTTCCAAAAGACCAAAAAAGTGGAAAAGTATATTTTAACAAAACGCATTTGACTAACAGGTCGAACAACAAATGTTCTTAAATCCTGCTGACTGTCATTGGCGATTGCCAAATATACGGATCACAAGGTGTAATAAATGGATCTTAACTATAAATTTAATACCAAACAGAAAACAATAAACTTGCGGCGAAGATGGTATACCGCAAACAAAGGTGCAAAGATTTTTTCTACACCATATCCGGATTTCGACAATTAATGTCTCTTCAGTGATGTTAGGAATCGAAACGGTTATTGGAAGGCCACATAATTTACCTCAATTTAGGATGGACTCTTGAATTTTGAGGAGTCAAAATAGGATGAACGGATCATATAAACCCTAAGGCAAATATAATACAAGCCCAAACGAAAAAAAATATTCACAAGTCTAAATTGAAAACAACGTTCAAACCTATAATTGCGTTGGATAAAAACCGCAATTTTTATACGTGTGCATGCAAAACAAATTTCTTGTTAGAGGGGTCTAAATACAGCACAAACAACATTTTTCAAAAGACCAAAAAAGTGAAAAAGTATATTTTAACAAAACGCATTTGACTAACAGGTCGAACAACAAATGTTCTTAAATCCTGCTGACTGTCATTGGCGATTGCCAAATAAACGGATCACAAGGTGTAATGAATGGATCTTAACTATAAATTTAATACCAAACAGAAAACAATAAACTTGCGGCGAAGATGGTATACCGCAAACAAAGGTGCAAAGATTTTTTGTACACCATATACGGATTTCGACAATTAATGTCTCTTCAGTGATGTTAGGAATCGAAACGGTTATTGGAAGGCCACATAATTTACCTCAATTTAGGATGGACTCTTGAATTTTGAGGAGTCAAAATAGGATGAACGGATCATATAAACCCTAAGGCAAATATAATACAAGCCCAAACGAAAAAAAATATTCACAAGTCTAAATTGAAAACAACGTTCAAACCTATAATTGCGTTGGATAAAAACCGCAATTTTTATACGTGTGCATGCAAAACAAATTTCTTGTTAGAGGGGTCTAAATACAGCACAAACAACATTTTTCAAAAGACCAAAAAAGTGAAAAAGTATATTTTAACAAAACGCATTTGACTAACAGGTCGAACAACAAATGTTCTTAAATCCTGCTGACTGTCATTGGCGATTGCCAAATAAACGGATCACAAGGTGTAATGAATGGATCTTAACTATAAATTTAATACCAAACAGAAAACAATAAACTTGCGGCGAAGATGGTATACCGCAAACAAAGGTGCAAAGATTTTTTGTACACCATATACGGATTTCGACAATTAATGTCTCTTCAGTGATGTTAGGAATCGAAACGGTTATTGGAAGGCCACATAATTTACCTCAATTTAGGATGGACTCTTGAATTTTGAGGAGTCAAAGTAGGATGAACGGATCATATAAACCCGAAGGCAAATATAATACAAGCCCAAACGAAAAAATATAAACAAGTCTAAATTGAAAACAACGTTCAAACCTATGATTGCGTTGGATAAAAAGAAAAAATTTAAACAAGTCTAAATTGAAAACAACGTTCAAACATATATATATATGTATATCAAGATCGTAAAAAGGACAATGTCCATTGTTAATATTAGCTTTATTTAAAGTCAGTTCTGCAGGATAACTCTCTTTAGTTTACTGAATGAAGTCGTCATTATTGAGAGCCAACATATCATCCAAATATCTTAAATTGTGTTTAAATTTTGTATCAGATGTTCTTACGATTGGTCTTGGTTAGCTTAATGTCATAGATTGTAATTTGGACAATACAGGAAAAGGTCCGCAATAAGTGGTGCACAGTAAGTCCCCATTAACATCCCGATCACTTGACGATAAACGGAATCTCCTTATTAAACACAAATGTTATCTAGTAAAAATTCAAGTGCAGTTGTCGTATCGTTACATTATATTTACATGTATACAACAACAAAATACGTTATTACCTAACATGCTTAGCATACGTACAGAGGAAATATACTGTTTATTAGCATTGATACATACAATATAAATACACAATTACAGCACATTTATTTGATTTTGAACACAGCAAAAGGTGCATTTTTTTCTTAAACATTCTTTCGTTTCATGGTATATTTGACAGAAACCCGACAGAGTTCAATTTGAAGTTTATTAATTTGTAGGTGTACTTTATTTTTTTACATAGTGATCTTCATAAATCGTCTTTTTATTTGAATTTTAATTAATTGAATAGTTTCTCTTCATAATAATTGCTTTTGATAACATGCCATTACTTAGTACTCATGTATCAATTTTGCTATAATGTTAGAAATTATTAGAACAAGTAATTAGATTGAAAATGAACGGACTAGGACGAATATGTTATGTGTGCCAACCGACCCGAAAGCATTCTATTGTATAGTGAGTAAAGATGGTTCAAAACATTTGACTTCTCTTCTTTTAACAAGCGTGTTCCTCGATATACAATGTACAATAATTAGTCCAAATTTTTCATAAAAATGATCAATGTAAATACATTGTTTATGGGAAGGCCAAATTATATTATATTATATAAATCTGATTCATGCGACGGGCTAGAAATTTAGTACTGGACCAAGGCCTGAGTTGCTATTGATCACATATTTGTTGAATTTGATGGACATGTTTTTCAACTAGATGTTGACATTAGTTTTGGAAACAACTATGTCCCTCTTTTTATCGACATGTTTCTTTATTCATATATGATATGTATGAGTCAGACTAACTTTGTTCAATTTTGATATGTCTTTATTCATTTTGTCAAAATTATCCAATGCATAAAGTTACAACAAAAACCTGACCTTAAATTTGGAAATAACCGAATTGTACAGATACATTTAGAGAGTTGATCCGCTTTCTACTATTTTTTGCTATTGTTTTTAAACTCGGGAAATAAATCAAGCAAGTTACATTTAGGTAGATTTACTGTTAACCACCATCCTGGATTGTACGTATATAATGGCAGTTAATTATCGGTCTAGTTCTTTGACTTAATCTGCAAAGTTTGAGTCAGATTTGCAATTTTTGCGTAAGACTATTCAATTATTTAAAGAAAAAAAAAGTGATTAATTGCATTATTCAAAATGTTTCAACAAATACCAAATATACGTATTTTTAGAATATTTTTTTAAATGTATCCATTTAAGGGCAGATAACTCTAATAGTAAAGTTTTATATTGGAATGATAGTGAGAATTAATTTTGTATTTGTAGCAAAAAATCAGTTCGATAACATCATTTTTTATTTTTATTTTCTTGCATATAATAAAACTATCCTCTTTAAATTTATTTCAAAATTCAATCTCATAGATTTCTCTGTATTTACAAAAATGTGTTTTTCTTGGACAATCTATCCAAATTTGTGCACTTTTGAACGACTTGTAGCTTGAAAAATAGTACGGTGATATTCTATCAGAGGAAATATATACCGATGATCCACTTTATAAGTTATATTTATTTAATGTGCACTAGAAAATATATTGGTTTTCAGGACAACATCTCCAAAACTCTTCATAGTTCCTAGACAAAAACCTAGTGCTGGTGTGTAGTCAATCAAATCATACACCAGAAAATAAAACAAACACAACAACCTTTTACAGAAAAGAAAGACCACTACAGAGTACAGTCTGTGAAAATCATGATTCCAACTATAAATAGTTGAAATTTGATGAAATGTTTGAAAATTCCTCTTTTATAATTGACTGTTCAGATGTTAAGCTTTTAAATGCGATTGGTCTATTTTGGAGCACCTACCTACTGTATTAATTGCTAAGTTGTTCTCATTCAGTATAAATCATAAAAAAAGAAATATTTTAAATTATCATGTTGATCTTTACATCATCTCAGAAATCTCAAACTGATAGAGTTAAATGTAAAGAGTAAGTGTTCATTTCTTTTCTATCCATAAAGTCAGTCCTATTCAGACAGTTTGCTTGCAGTCAATTCAGTACTGTTCGGTAGCTATTGAGACAATTCAAGATGTTTAATTTGTGTTTAGGACGATTACAGCTCCTAAAAAACTAAACATTGGCTTAACAAATTCGAAATGACTACAAGCGAATTGTTGGAATAATACCTTATTTACCACAGCCAACAAATCTGAAAACCCACTTAAAGTCTGAACATGACTAATTGATTGATTGTTCAGCCTTTTCTGTAGACATCAAAATGATCGTTTCAGTTCCACGTAGAAATAGATGCGTTAATCTGATGCATTATGTAGTAACAGAGCTTAACTTTTTGTAAGTTAAAAAATGATAAACACTCATCTTGAACAACCCACTTTACATAACATATTTTGGCATTTTTGATAATTAGTAATTATTCATGAAATAGTATGGCGCTTAGAGGACCATGTTATAATATAGATTGAAACCAAACGTAAAATCAATACATATATCGTTGCTGACATGATTTAGTAAATTAACAGTTTGTCATTTCTTATCACAGCTGACAGTGTATCCCTGTCGACGCCTGTTCCGATTCAAAACGTCAGCGAAAATGAGAAAAAGGAAATACACACTTTACATAACAAAACGAGAAACGATGATGGTTCATTGATTGCAAGAAACAACGCGTGTGCGAAAACTGGTAGAAATGGAAGGACAAATAATCAGATATCATCAGATTGTAACAAAGGTATCACATTTATCCATTTATCCTCGATTCATTGCACTTTGAATGAAAGGGAATACATATGTTTTTGAAAAGAGAACTGCTACATGTATCGGAATGGAACAGCTAGCATCTCCTCGTAGTATTGAAAACATTTAAAGAGGTATCATGGTATAGGAGAATTGCAGTCATGAAAATCCAATCGTACATGTTATTAATTTTTAGTATATTACTGTTAAGGATGTGCTAAAATTAGGTTTAGGAATTTTTGTCAAATTTTCAGACTCTTTTGGTTTTTTCCAATGATATAGGGTAATTATTTTGTTCAAAAACACACACTTTTCTTTTCATATAAGACTCCAATATCTCATATAAAGTCAATTACTAGAATTTTAGGAGATTCTTGATTTCTTTTCTTACAATTTGAGACCCCATAAAAATGACAACGCAAATATAACATGTATAAGGTAAGAGACCGAGTCAGCCTTTTCCTATCAATATTCCTAGCTGATTTTGTTCCTAAGCTTATGCTCTTCTGACTAGTAATATCAATTTCAAAGTATAGTTTTTTTTTAATTTCACCTAGGTACATGCTTAAACTCCGCTAAAGTTTTTTTTAATCAAAAAAATATAACCACTTTTGATATTTCTTTCAAGACGTGAAAACACTATCACATAGAAACCAAATTTTGCATTTGTACAGCAGTCATATTGGATGATTTAAGTGTCTGATTTGAATTTAATACTATTCCATGGGTGATGATTATTAGTTGAAGATTTCAATTAATGTCTGTTTAATGCAAAATTAAAAACGATTAGTATTTTTACCAATGACTTCACAATACATGCATTTTGGACGGAGGAGGTTTTGGTAAGGGCCCCTTTTAGCCTACAAAAATGAAGTATTACAATACAAGATGATTAAATATAGTGTTATGTTCGTGCAAATGTTAACCTGTAATATCTTTAAAAGATCATGAATATTTATGGTGATAGTATAGTCGCAAGATATCAAAATTGCATTTTTTCTATAAGATAAGATCTAATGAGTTTATACAGGAAAACCAATGCAACTTTCACACTTGCTTTTAGCGAGAAATGTTGATTCAAACAAGTACGACCCAAATATTTTACAAAGTAGTATTTTATTTACAGAGTCAAATATTGTGGTAAATTATCTATATGTACTGCGCACGATCTTTATTTGAGGATCCAAAAAGTATCAGAAAATGTAAACATTTGTGTATTGTTTGATACACTATCAAATTTCCAAATCTTCTCTTTTTATTTTTAACTTTACCCTCCCTCAGCCCATTACTGATATGACCTTTGTTTTTTCCGACACTTGACATAAAAGGGCGTTTGCTACTTTTTTTTCCAGAATGGACTGCATAGCGAAAATGTGTATGAACTTTTGATCTAATATTGAAGTCAAACAGCTCGTGATTAATAAAAAAAAAACGTCATTTTTTTATGAATTTAAAATAGATAAAGGAAACGGGGATTGTATCAAAGAGACAACAAACCAACCAAAGAGCAGAAAAACAGCTGGCGACAATCAATGGGTCTTCACCACAGTAATAAAATCCCGCACCTTGAGGCGGACTTTGGTGGCCCCTTAACAAAATGTATTCTAGTTCAGCGAAAATTAACGTCGCATTAAGCTTAGAAACATATAAATGAAACAAACCTAAAAAAGGAAACATACAAGACATACAACGGCCAAAGGTTCTTGATGTGGTTCATAAGTGTTTCTTGTTTGTTGATGTGGTTCATAAGTGTTTCTCGTTTGTTGATGTGGTTCATAATTGTTTCTCGTTTGTTATATAGATTAGATCGTTGGTTTTCCCGTTTGAATGGTTTTACACATGTCATTTTTAGGGCCCTTTATAGTTTGCTGTTTGATGTGAGCCAAGGCTCCGTGTTGAAGACCGTACTTTTAAATATAATGGTTTACTTTTACAAATTGTGACTTGGATGATAGAGATGTCTCACTGGCACTCATACCACATCTTCATATATCTATATACAAAGTCCAGAGGTTCTAGGCGTGGGACAGGTGCATAAATGTTGCGGAGTTAAACGTGTTTTGTGAGATCCTAATACACTCTCTATACCTCTAGCAAATGTAGAATTAAAAAACCAACACAGCAATAAGCACAGTAAAACTAGTTTAAAAGAAGTTCGAGTCCGATATTAGATACGGTAACAGAAGAAACTATGCAAAGCGTCAATGATGAACATAAATTAACAAAGGACTACTAACAGCTACTGACATGCCAGCTCCAGACCTCAATTAATCTGCGTGATAAGTTATGTTCGAAAATCAAGCACAATATCTCCCGTAAGAGGTTCAGGAGCATACCATCATAAAATATATGAGAAGAACGTAACCCGTTTCATGCCAATAACTGTTTTAGAATATTGTGTTTATTTCCAAGGCAAAGACCCTATGAGTGAATCAATATTAATTTTCCAAAACGCCATTTTTACAGCAGAATCCTTTAAAAATAGACTAGTCTGACAGATAACCAATCTAACTGTCTGTAGCACTAGACTACTTCTGAAAGGAGGGTAGTATACCTAACCTAATAAAGACTTCACGGTTCAGCTAACAAGCAAGCTAACCAAAGATTCTACCTTTACCTACACACTCAATGCATTCTGCTGTAATGATTTTGCAACAGTATCGTAACTATATCCCTTCTGGATAATTCTGTTCAAACAAAGGTTTGTTAGCTTTTGAGGTAAATGACGACATTTGTGTGCATTGTATAGAATATTACAATAGTAGATGGAATATGAGACACCTGAACGTATAAGATTTCTGCACCTTGATTCATATTTACAAATGATGTCCACGTACCGATAATAAAATCAAGTAAATGTTTTGACAATTTTGTAATATCGAAAACTCTGGTTTAATAATATTTGAGTAATACAGAGACTTCTTTCGTTAAAACCATTTACTTTGTTACATACACGAGCGAATCGTTGGGATATATAAACACCATAAGATGGTGCCAATGGAACATTCCCATTTAAGAATTTAACAAACTGAAAATCATCTCTTTTGTCGTAAATGTAAGTGTTAAGCTTCCCGTTAAAGATATTATATATGTATATATATATATATGGTTTTTATCCAACGCAATCATAGGTTTGAACGTTGTTTTCAATTTAGACTTGTATATGTATATATATATATATATACATATATATATATAATTAAGTCTAAGTTGAAAACAACGTTCTAACCGATGATTGCGTTGGATAAAGACCGCAATTTTTATACGTGTGCATGCAAAACAAGTTTCTTGGTAGAGTGATCTAAGTACAGCACAAACAACATTTTCCAAAAGACCAAAAATGTGAAAAAGTATATTTAAACAAAACGAATTTGACTTACAGGTCGAACAACGGATATTCTTAAACCCTCCTGACTGCCATTGGCGATTGCAAAATAAACGGATCACAAGATGTAACAAAATCGATCTTTTTATTAATTTATTACCAAACAGAAAACAATAAACTTGCGGAAAAGAAGGTATACCGCAAACATGAGGTGCAAACATTTGTACACCATAACCGGATTTCGACAACTAATGTCTCTTCAGTGATGTTAGGGATCGAAACGGTATTTAGAAGGCCATATAAATTACTTCAATTTAGGATAGACTCTTCAATTTTAAAGATGCGAAATAGGTTGAACGGATCATATAAACCCGAAGGAAAACAAAATACAAGCCCAAACGAAAAAATATAAACAAGTCTAAATTGAAAACAACGTTCAAACCTATGATTGCGTTGGATAAAAACCACAATTTTTATACGTGTGCATGCAAAACAAATTTCTTCGTAGAAGGGTCTAAATACAGCACAAACAACATTTTTCAAAAGACCAAAAATGTGAAAAGGTATATTTTATCAAAACGCATTTGACTAGCAGGTCGAACAACTGGTGTTCTTAAACCCTGCTGACTGCCAATGGCGATTGCCAAATAAACGGATCACAAGATGTAACAAAATTGATCTTATTATTAATTTATTACCAAACAGAAAACAATAAACTTGCGGGAAAGATGATGTACCGCAAACATGAGGTGCAAAAATTTGTACACTTTATCCGTATTTCGACAACTAATATCTCTTCAGTGATGTAAGAATCGAAACGGTATTTGGAAGGCAATATAATTTACCTCAATTCACGATACACTCTTGATTTTTGAAAGATTCAAATTAGGATGAACGGATCATATAAACCCAAAGGCAAATATAATTCAAGCCCAAACGACAAAATATAAACAAGTCTAAATTGAAAACAACGTTCAAACCTATGATTGCGTTGGATAAAAACCGCAATTTTTATACGTGTGCATGCAAAACAAATTTCTTGGTAAAGGGGTGTAAATACAGCACAAACAACATTATATATATATATATATATAAGCAAGTCTAAATTGAAAACATGGTCCAAACCTATGATTGCGTTGGATAAAAACCGTAACTTTAATACGTGTGCATGCAAAACAAATTTCTTGGTAGAAGGGTCTAAATACAGCACCAACAACATTTTTCAAAAAACCAGAAATGTGAAAAAGTTTATTTTAACAAAACGCATTTGACTAGCAGGTCGAACAACTGGTGTTCTTAAACCCTACTGACTGCCATTGGCGACTGCAAAATAAACTGATCACAAGATGTAACAAAATGGATCTTATTATTAATATAATACCAAACAGAAAACAATAAACTTGCGGAAAAGATGGTATATCGCAGATATGAGGTGCAAACATTTGTACACCATATCCGAATTTCGACATTTAATGTCTCTTCAGTGATGTTAGGGATCGAAACGGTATTTAGAAGGCCATATAATTTACCTCAATTTAGGATAGACTCTTGAATTTTAAAGAGTCGAAATAGTTTGAACGGATCATATAAACACGAAGGAAAATATAATACAAGCCCAAACGAAAAAATATAAACAAGTCTAAATTGAAAACAACGTTCAAACCTATGATTGCGTTGGATAAAAACCGCATTTTTTATACGTGTGCATGCAAAACGAATTTCTTGGTAGAAGGATCTAAATACAACACAAACAACATTTTTCAAAAGGCTAAAAATGTGAAAAAGTATATTTTAACAAAACGCATTTGACTAGCAGGTCGAACAACTGGTGTTTTTAAACCCTGCTGACCGCCATTGGAGATTGCCAAATATACGGATCACAACATGTAACAAAATGTATCTTATTATTAATTTATTACCAAACAGAAAACAATAAACTTGCGGAAAAGATGGTATATCGCAAACGTGAGGTGCAAACATTTGTACACCATATCCGGATTTCGACAACTAATGTCTCTTCAGTGATGTTAGGGATCGAAACGGTATTTAGAAGGCCATATAATTTACCTCAATTTAGGATAGACTCTTGAATTTTAAAGAGTCGAAATAGTTTGAACGGATCATATAAACCCGAAGGAAAATATAATACAAGCCCAAACGAAAAAATATAAACAAGTCTAAATTGAAAACAACGTTCAAACCTATGATTGCGTTGGATAAAAACCGCAATATTTATACGTGTGCATGCAAAACAAATTTCTTGGTAGAGGGGTCTAAAAACAGCACAAACATTTTTCAAAAGACCAAAAATGTGAAAAAGTATATTTTATCAAAACGCATTTGAGGAGCAGGGCGAACATCTGGTGTTCTTAAACCCTGCTGACTGCCATTGGCGATTGCCAAATATACGGATCACAAGATGTAACAAAATGGATCTTATTATTAATTTATTACCAAACAGAAAACAATAAACTTGCGGAAAAGATGATGTACCGCAAACATGAGGTGCAAACATTTGTACACAATATCCGAATTTCGACAACTTATGTCTCTTCAGTGATGTTAGGGATCGGAACGGTATTTAGATGGCCATATACTTTACCTCAATTTAGGATAGACTCTTGAATTTTAAAGAGTCAAAATAGGTTGAACGGATCATATATATATGTATATCAAGATCGTAGAAAGGACACTGTTCATTGCTAGCACTAGCTTTATTTAAAGACAGTTCTGCAGGATAACTTAATGTCATCAATTGTAATTTGGACAATACAGGAAAAGGTCCGCAATAAGTGGTGCACAGTAAGTCCCCATTAACATCCCGATCACTTGACGATAAACGGAATCTCCTTATCAAACACAAATGTTATCTAGTAAAAATTCAAGTGCAGTTGTCGTATCGTTACATTATATTTACATGTATACAACAACAAAATACGTTATTACCTAACATGCTTAGCATACGTACAGAGGAAATATACTGTTTATTAGCATTGATACATACAATATAAATACACAATTACAGCACATTTATTTGATTTTAAACACAGCAAAAGGTGCATTTTTTTCTTAAACATTCTTTCGTTTCATGGTATATTTGACAGAAACCCGACAGAGTTCAATTTGAAGTTTATTAATTTGTAGGTGTACTTTATTTTTTTACATAGTGATCTTCTTAAATCGTCTTTTTATTTGAATTTTAATTAATTGAATAGTTTCTCTTCATAATAATTGCTTTTGATAACATGCCATTACTTAGTACTCATGTATCAGTTTGCTATAATGTTAACAATTATTAGAACAAGTAATTAGATTGAAAATGAACGGACCAAGGACGAATATGTTATGTGTGCCAACCGACCCGAAACCATTCTATTGTATAGTGAGTAAAGATGGTTCAAAACATTTGACTTCTCTTCTTTTAACACACGTGTTCCTCGATATACAATGTACCAATTTTTTTATAAAAATGATAAATGTAAATACATTGTTTATGGGAAGGCCAAATTATATTATATTATATTATATAAATCTGATTCATGCGACGGGCTAGAAATTTAGTACTGGACCAAGGCCTGAGTTGCTATTGATCACATATTTGTTGAATTTGATGGACATGTTTTTCAACTAGATGTTGACATTAGTTTTGGAAACAACGGTGTCCCTCTTTTCATGTTTCTTTATTCATATATGATATGTATGAGTCAGACTAACTATATTCAATTGTGATATGTATTTATTCATTTTGTCAAAATCATCCCATGTAACAAAAACCTGACCTTAAATTTGGAAATAACCGAATTGTACAGATACATTTTGAGAGATGATCTGCTTTCTACTATTTTTTGCTGTTGTTTCTAAACTCGGGAAATAAATCAAGCAAGTTACATTTAGGTAGATTGACTGTTTACCGCCATCCTGGATTGTACGTATACAATAGCAGTTAATTATCGGTCTAGTTCTTTGACCTTATCTGCAAAGTTTGAGACGGATTTGCAATTTTTGCGTAAGACTATTCAATTATATAAAGAAAAAAATAAGTGATTAATTGCATTATTCAAAATGTTTCAACAAATACCAAATATACTAGTACGTATTTTTAGAATAATTTTTGCAATGTAGCCATTTAAGGGCAGATAACTCTAATAGTAAAGTTTTATACTGGAATGATAGTGAGATTTAATTTTGTATGTGTAGCCAAACAATTAGTTCGATGACACCATCTTTTATTTTTATTTTCTTGCATATAATAAAACTATCCTCTTTAAATTTATTTCAAAATTCAATCTCATAGATTTCCCTGTATTTACAAAAAATGTGTTTTTCTTGGACAATCTACCCAAATTTGTGCACTTTTGAACGACTTGTAGCTTGAAAAATAGTACGGTGATATTCTATCAGAGGAAATATATACCGATGATCCACTTTATAAGCTTTATTGATTTAATGTGCACTAGAAAATATATTGGTTTTCAGAACAGCATCTCCAACACTCTTCATTGTTCCTAGACAAAAACCTAGTGCTGGTGTGTAGTCAATAAAAGCATACACCAGAAAATAAATCTAACACAACAACAATTTACAGAAAAGAAAGACCACTGTAGAGTACAGTCAGTGGAAATCATGTTTCCAACTATAAATAGTTTGATGAAATGTTTGAAAATTCCTCTTTTATAATTGACTGTTCAGATGTTAAGCTTTTAAATGCGGTTGATCTAATTTGGAGCACCTACCTACTGTATTAATTGCTAAGTTGTTCTCATTCAGTATAAATTACTAAAAAAAATATTTTAAGTCTTAAATTATCATTTTGATCTTTACATTATCTCAAATCTCTCAAACTGATAGAGATAACTGAAAGAGTTTCAAGTAAGTGTTCAGTTCTTTTCTTTTCGTAAAGTCGGTACTACTAATATTCAGACAGTTTGCTTGCAGTCAATTTAGTACTGTTTGGTAGCTATTGAGACAATTCTAGATGTTTAATTTGTGTTCAGGGCGATTATAGCTCCTAATAAACTAAACATTGGCTAAACGAATTCAAAATCACTGCAAGCGAATTGTTGGAATAATACTTAATTTACCACAGCCGACAAATCTGAAAACCCACTGAAAGACTGAACATGACTGATTGATTGATTGTTCAGCTTTTCTGTAGACATCAAAATGATTGTTTCAGTTCCACGTAGAAATATATGCGTTAATCTGATGCGATATGTAGTAACAGAGCTTCACTTTTTGTAAGTTAAAAAATGATAAACATCTCATCTTGAACAATCCACTTTACAGAACATATTTTGACATTATTGATAATTAGTAATTATTCATGAAATAGTATGGCGCTTAGAGGACCATGTTGCAATACAGATTGAAACCAAACGTAAAACCAATATATATATTGTTGATGACATGAATTTTTAATTTAACAATTTGTCATTTCTTATCACAGCTGACAGTGTATCCCTGTCGACGCCTGTTCCGATTCAAAACGTCAGCGAAAATGAGAAAAAGGAAATACACATTTTACATAATAAAACGAGAAACGATGATGGTTCATTAATTGCAGGGAACAAAGCGTGTGCAGAAACTGGTAGAAATGGAAGGACAAATAATCAGATATCATCAGATTGTAACAAAGGTATCACATTTATCCATTTATCCTCGATTCATTGCACTTTGAATGAAAGGGAATATATATGTTTTTGAAAAGAGAACTACTACATGTATCGGAATGGAACAGCTAGCATCTCCTCGTATCATTGAAAACATTTAAAGAGGTATCATGGTATAGGAGGATTGAAGTCAAGAAAATCCAATCGTAAATGTTATTATTTTTTTGTATATTACTGTTAAGGATGTGCTAAAGTTAGGTTTAGGAATTTTTGTCAAATTTTCAGGCTCTTTTGGTTTTTCCAATGATATAGGGTAAATATTTTGTTCAAAAACACACACTTTTCTTTTCATATAAGACTTCAATATCTCATATAAAGTCAATTACTAAAATTTAAGGAGATTCTTGATTTCTTTTCTTACAATTTAAGACCCAAAAAAATGCCAACGCAAATATAACATGTATAAGGTAAAAGACCGAGTAAGCCTTTTTCTACCAATATTCTTAGCTGATTTTGTTCCTTAGCTAATGATCTTCTGACTAGTAATATCAATTTAAAAGTATAGTTTTTTTTTAATTTCACCTAAATACATGCTTAAACTCCGCTAAAGTTTTTTTCTAATCAAAAAAGTATAACCACTGTTGATATTTCTTTCAAGAGGAGAAAAACCTTATCGCATAGGAACCAATTTTGCATTTGTACAGCAGTCATATTGGATGATTTAAGTGTATGATTTGAATTTAATACTATTCCATGGGTGATGATTATTAGTTGAAGATTTCAATTAATGTCTGTTTAATGCAAAAATTAAAAACGATTAGTCTTTTTACCCATGACGTCACAATACATGCATTTTGGACGGAGGAGGTTTTAGTAAGGGCCTTTTTTAGCCTACAAAAATGAAGTATTACAAAACAAGATGATTAAATATTTAGAATAAGTGTTATGTTCGTGCAAATGTTAACCTGTTATATCTTTAAAAGATCATGAATATTTATGGTGATAGTATAGTCGCAAGATACCAAAATTCCATATTTTTTTTTCTATAAGATAAGAGTACCAATGCAACTTTCACACTTGTTTTAAGCGAAAAATGTTGTTTCAAACAAGTACGACCCAAATATTTACCAAATAGTATTTTATTTACAGAGACAAATATTGTGGTAAATTATCTATATGTACTGCGTACCATCTTTATTTGCGGATCCAAAAGGTATTAGAAAATGTAAACATTTGTGTACTGTTTACGAAATCACATGGAAAGGAACATATTGGGATGCTCAATGGATGTATTGTAATGTAATGGGTAAAAACCTTGTGGTATTTAATTTTGAATTAATCAGCGTTTTTAAATATCATAAATTGAAATCTTCAATCAAAAGTTCATTTCCCAGTACAAGTTATTATAACAAAGGTCCTAATCGCACTCTTAAGCATTTCTAAGGCAATGTTACAATTAAGAACGTAACAGTTGAACAACACACTAGTTTTATAACCAAATTGAATTCTATCTAAATGATTAAGATTTAGACGACTCGCAAATACTTATAATAAGTTGAACAACATACCCAGATCTTAAGTACTTTACAAATAGTAGTGTTGGAATCTGAAAATGTTTATTATTATACGAGTTTCATATTACCCGGCTAACACACAGTTTGAAAAAAAGTTCAACTCGACTTTAAGATTGATCGCTAAAAGGTCATAGATGCAGTTTTGTTTTTTTATTTTAGGGTTTAGCTTGCAAATTTGACTAAAATGCCAAACATGGACGGCATACAGTTTGACTCATTATTCAAAAACTTCAAACACATATATCTAATTTTACTTTATTCAAAAAGCACGTATAATGCCTAACTAATCAAACGGTAAAGCTAAATAAACCATAAAAGCCTTTTGATTAAAAATAACGAAAAAAAACTACTGTTTCCGAGGACATGTCGTCGTTTCACCGGATTCAAACATCATACAGTGCATAAATTTTATCGAAACTACTACAAATAATTGAACTACTGTAAATTCAGAAATTATTGCGAGGTTTTTATTATTGCGACAAATGCGAAAAACAGAAAAATGTTACTGTTGAGAACTATGAAATTGACTATTAAAAAGATTAAAACATCATGTGACTTCTGTAAATGATTTTTTTGGCGGTCATCAATCTGTGTCAATATCAATGAAAATGTCAAGATATGTAACAGGCATTTTTTAGTTTCGGCAGTATACTTTATTATTAGCTCACTGTGATATATAAAATATCAGCTTAGACGGAAATGCGGGTTTTATAGATATACTGTTAAAAATAGTAACAGGAGCAGGATAGCTTGCCTTACCACCACTGTAAAGCTTTATGTTGATTCAAGCTGTATTCATTAATTCACCAAAGTTTTTTAACACTGCGGTATAAAACAGCTAATGGATATAAATTTGCTCATGTCAATGTAGCAATAGTTCAGATATCAAATCACTTTGTACAGACCAGACTGAATGACAGAACAATAACGACAATCGGAAACTTCCGGCAAACAAGTGTATTATGTGAATTAGAGATGAATGTTTTCTTTTGTTTGAATGTTTCTATAGAGTTCCAAGCAACAGGCCACATTATTCCTTTCTTAACAGGTTCCATTTGTCATTTGTTCTAGAAGCGCCCTGATGTTATAATTGTTCTTTTCCCCCTATTTAAGTTAGTTTACCAATTGCTGTGGCAAAAGCGTATTCTGCAAAAAATAAATGTTTTGATATGTCGCATGATGTAAGACATAATCACGCGACATTTTGTACACAAACAATTGACTAGCAACTTATTCCATTGCACATCAATTAAAATGTCCGAAGCTTATCATTTCGAATCGCAATATTATTCGGATTTGCGGTTTAAGTATGCTGTCGTGTTTCTTATCCGCGATCGTTAAACTTTGATATTTATGATTTGTGTAGCATAATCTCGCATGTACGAGGATATGTTTCAACCAATGTTCAGATTCATGTAACAGCATTACCACAATACTCTTACAGAAGTCATTTAAGGTCAATCTTAACATAATTTGTTTATAATTTTCGAATCATTTTGCAAAACTTTGACATCCGTTGGACTGATAATTTGAAAAAAGTACATTTTTTTATCTAAATGGAAACTAATCTTCCCCCTTTTGTTGTAAAATTGCGTACGTTTACTCTGGAGAATTATTTTCTGATTTTTTAATTTTTTGAATAAATATGAGATAAAGACACACATAAATGTGAGTTTGCCATCATTCTACTGCAAAAATAAATATCGATTTTAAATAAAATATTCAAGAATTATTTTAAAGAAAATGATTTAGTGGCATTTGATATTGCTTTCTGCAAAATGGCACCAAATGTTTTTTTGACAACCACTTCGATTTGAAAGTGCAGACATTTCGATTCAATAAATATATGATATAGGGGTGCAGTAGTTCTAATTATGATTTAAATAATTTACTCTGGTCACCGGGCTACAAGGTCACCGGGCTTAATTGATAAAAAAAAATTAGAAACTGTACTTAAATATCACCGGAATCAAGGGAAGTAACGTTGTCATATCGAAGACCGTTTAGTAACAGTGATTTTGTTATATTCGGATAAGTTGGTCATGAATAAGTTAGGTTATTTCCCAGAACGATTGCTTCAGTTCTTTTCAAATGAGCAAATAAAATGCTCGATCTTTATTGTAATTTACGCGATCTAAATTGAAATTGCTGTATTTAGGAAATTAACGCCGGATAATTAAAATATTGAAATTGGTATGGTTTGGTTAAACGATTGACATAGTTCAGTTAAGTGTAGAGAAATTCGTCATAATTTTGATCAAGTTTGTCATGGTTTAGATGACAATTAATATATATTTATTTGACCTTAATATTAATAGTTTGGTTGAAGGCGCTTGTTAAAAAAATGATTTAGCAGAAAATAAACTTATTAACCAAAACTTTATCGTCAAAATGAATAAAGACTTCTACTAAAATTTTCAACACATGGCAGCTAGAACGAAATAATTTAGTTTTACATTTTTTCTACTATACTTCTGTTTTTTTTTAATTATTTGAACTATATTATAGATATAAGAAGATGTGGTATGAGTGCCAATGAGACAACTCTCCATCCAAGTCACAATTTGTAAAAGTAAACCATTATAGAGCAAAGTACGGTCGTTAACACGAAGCCTTGGCTCAACCCGAACAGCAAGCTATAAAGGGCTTCAAAAATGACATGTGTAAAACCATTCAAACGGGAAAACCAACATATCTATATGATGAAAAGTAGATATGGGTTACATGCTAATTATACAGTAACCCAATTACAAAACTAACCTAACGATATCGAAATGATAATATGGACAACAGTTTAAGCTTTTTTCTTAATAAACTATAAGTCAAATTACTATGAAAATTATTTTCGAAGTTCCAATTTGAATATATGGAAGATAAATATTGGGAATTAGAAATAGCTCGATATGATGTCCATTTTTATCGAATACTATTACAAATGAATAAAAATTATTATGTTTTGTCATTTTGTATCAGTGTATTTAACTTAACCCGTTTAAGCCTTTTTTTTTCACTCATGTAATAATGTTTCGAAAACATTAGAAAAAGATCTGTCTGTCTTGTATATAGTATGAGAAACTGTTCATTTTGAAATAATTAAAATTTGGATAAAACACGTCTTCTGAATGTCTGAAAGTTTTTTGTCTATTAACTCATGAAATAATTTTGTAATGTGACCGTGACGTCATCAACCTTTTTTTTGATTTACTCTTTAAGTGCCAATCTGCCTAAGAATCAGGCAGTGGTGAAAACATGGCAAACAAAAACCCACTCAGGTTGACATTAATTTTTGTTCAAAATGTATAATGGTGCATGAATATAGCATTCGTTTCCTTGTCCTGTTCTGGTAATTCAAGATATAATTTGGTTGAAATGCACTAGAAATGAAAAATTAAGGGGAGCTAACTCTGTAATTTGCTATCGTTCTAACCAAAATTTATCTAGAGATTTCTCGA